AGGACTCAAATGGTTTAGGACATTTGGGGATGGCAATGGGAAGATTTCTAGACTGTTCTCAAGGTTAGATAAGAGCATGGTATGCTGAACTCAGTTTCCATATCCAGGACTCAGTAAACCAGGAGTAGTACACGGGGTAGTACAATGCCCAAGAGAATGAATGATGTTACAGAATCTTTGTTTGCAAATAGCCACAGGTTGGTAATAAGACAGAAAAATAAGAAATACATTTCATTGTTAAGATATATACTATTAAAATATTGTATGTAGATACAACTGGATAATCAAACCCTGGAAAATACCCGAAAACTTATTCCAAAGGGGAAAATTTTTTCTTTATTCCTTGTAAGTTTTCAAATCAGGGAAATTCTACTTGCTTTGCTTATTTCTTCATGCACCTTAACCCCTGTGTTAGTCACTTCCTGTGTGTCCCATCAACTGAGTAGATAAATTGGATCCCCAGCAACCAGGAAGTATATGAATAATTTCTGTGAAGCTCTTACTCACCACACATTAGCAATTTGAATACTAATTAGTGTTTGTAAAGTAGGAGGAGAAATACAAGTGAAGTGGTGGTTGATTTTCATTACCTGATAGTAATGAACATATCATAACATTATTGTAAAGAATAACATCCTACTGTCCTTTAATCTTACCAATTTAAAGAAAATGTCTTTACCTACTCTACACGGAAAGATTTGGAACAGACAAGGATCATTAAAATGTGGCCTTCAAAAGGCATAAAAATAATAGTCAAACCTATACTTCCACTCCTAATATTTTCCTAACTGTCAAACCCGCATATATAAGGACTTATTCAGTAGATTCTGCTAGATGTCCACAACTCAAACATGTTCAAAATGCTAGCCATCATCCTACTCTCAGCTCATCAAGTGCACCACAGAATTCTCCCTCTTGCCCTCCAAATGCACTCTTCCATGTTTTCTATCTTCATATTCAACACAAACATCTACCTGCTTCCCCAATTCAGAAATCTGGGAGTCATCTTATCTCCTCAACTCTTGCCACATCCGTAAAAATTAAATCTCCCTGTCCTGTTGATTCTTTAAGTCCCATATTTCCTCCATCTCTACTGCCACTACTTCAGTTCAGTTCAGGGGCTCATAACAGCTTTCAGATTCCTGTGATAACCTCTTAATTGTCTCCTGACTCAACTCTTACCCTTATCCAATGTATTTGGTACATATTCGTGCCAAGTGATTCTTATAAAATGTAAATCTCATTGCCTTTCTCCCTGGTTTCAACTTCATCATTGTTCCTACAGTATGTTGGATTATATATAAAATTTTTAGTTTGGTTTCTAATGAACCGACCATTGCCTTCCTCTGATACGTACCTGACACAACAGCCATGCTGAGCTACTTGTATTGACCTACATACCACACTGTTTTATTCCTCCTGGCCTTCTGACATGCTGCTATTCCCTTTGCTTGAAGCACTTTCCTGCTTTCTTCTCCTCTCATGTCTCCAACACTCCCCAAGCCTGGATAAATTGTATCTGACCATCAAGATTCAGTTCCAGCATCACTTTCCCTGGGAATAAAGTGTTCTCGATCTCCCACCTCCAGTAGTCTGAGTTAAATGGCCTTCTTCTTTGCATTTGCACTACCCTGTAGTAAAGATTGGGGATTTTTTTCTGAGGAGGGCTAAATAATTAGTATTTTAGGTTTTGAAAGTATAGGTAGCCCAAATGGTAGACCCTGGAGAAATCCATATCTTCTTTTTCTAAAAGTTTATTTATTTTTGAGGTGGAGGACAGGCAGGAAGAGAGAGGGAGAGACAGAATCCCAAGCAGGCTCTGTGCTGTCAGCACAGAGTTCAACATGGAGCTCAATCTCAATGGTGAAATCATGACCTCCGCCAAAATCAAGAGTCAGACGCTTCACAGGGTGAGCCACCCTGGTGCCCCAAAAAGATCCATGTCTTTTTAAAACAATTTTAAATGTTTGCTTTCCGGACCTGGCCGAGCAGGAGGCGCCATCATGGGAGTCGACATCCGCCACAATAAGGACCAAAAGGTTCTGCACAAGGAACCCAAGAGCCAGGACATCTACCTGAGACTGTTGGTCAAGCTGCACCGGTTTCTGGCCAGACGGACCAACTCTACCTTTAACCAAGTTATGTTGAAGAGATTGTTCATGAGTCGCACAAACCAGCCACCTCTGTCCCTTTCCCAGATGATCCGGGAGATGAAGCAGCCTGGCGGGGAAAACAAAACCTCTGTGGTTGCCGGGAGGGTAACCAATGACTTGCGGGTCCAGGAGGTGCCCAAAGTGAAGGTGTGCGCGTGTGCGTGCCGCATGTGAGCAGCCTTGCTGGGAGCTGCATCCTCAAAGCTGGAGGCAAGATCCTCACCTTCGACCAGTTGGCCCTGGACCTCCATGTCTGAAAGCCAGGAACCTGAGAATCTTACCTTATTTGAAAAAACGATCCTTGCAGATGTAATGGATCTTACGATGAGGAAAGCATCCTGAACTAGCTGGGTGAGGCCTAAATTCAATGACAAATATTCTTATAGAAGACACACAGAGAAGACAGGGAGAACAGGAGGAAGCCATGTGACCACAAAGACAGAGATTGGAGCAATGAAGCCAGGAATTAAGCAATGCCAAGAGAAGCTGGATGAGGCAAAAATTGGATTGTTTTCTAGAGTCCCCAGAGGGAGTGTGGCCCTATCAACACCTTGACCCTGGACTTCTGACCTTCACAACTGGGAAATATTTAATTTTTGCTACTGTAGCCACCCAACTTGTTACAGCTGCTGTAGGAACCTGTCTAGGTAGGGAGCTCCACGGTGGCAGCCACAGCCATGAAGCTCTGCCACAGTAGTGTCAAAGCAGTGTGGACAAGATGTGAGCATGTGGGCATAATAGTGTTCTAATAAAAACTTTATCTGCAAAAAGGGATGCTAGGACAGGTTTGACCCACAGGCTGTAGACTGACAACCCATGTTATGAGGTGGTGATCGTCATACCTGATCATCACCCTCTAGAACATACGTGTACTGAAAACAAGGGGTATGTCTTATATCTTAGAATCTATAACTGAAGGGTCTCAAATTCTAATTCTAATAGTGACCAGGCAGGTAAATTAAAGGAATGAAGTGGCCTGGATGAAACAGTGAAAGTGTCATCTAATGAAGGCAACTTCTTCTCAGCTCCTGGCGATTATTGCCATGTAGCCCCCTGCCCCAACTTGGCCAAATAAATAATATCTGGGGTTCAGATTTAGTCTCTGGGCTACAATCTTCCAAGTTAGCACAACCAATGCCTGGCACAGCACACAGTAAATACTTTGTCGAATGAATCAATGTACTCACAAATACCAACTTTCTAACACCAAGTAATGAGGCTATTGTAAGTATATTTGTAGGCATATAAATTCAGCATGTGACAGAGACAAAAATATTAATGGTTATAAAATTGTACACTTTAAATATGTGAATTTTATTGTATGTCAATTATACCTCAAGAGAACTGTTTTTAAAAAGAGATAAACTAAGGGCAAGAGTATAAATGGAAAAAAAAAAGCATTAATGGTACAAACCACAAAAATATAAAAATGAAGTTTCTGTCTCAAATCAAATTTTGAGCTGGCATGGTGGCTCTGCTCACTGAAATGTGGGGACGAGCCTCCCCCGCCTTTTCCTAAGGAGTTGCCTTTGTCCATGTAGGACAAAAGGGCACACTACCACGTGTGTATCCCAAACTGTGGACGGTGGAAGGAGGGAGGCAAGAACAGATCCCTTTTCTTTGAAGATACCACTGGGAAGTTGTCCACAAAATTTCTTCTCACATTCTAAAGGAAAGAAGACCTACACCTCTCTGCAAAGGAGGGTGGACAATGTAGTCTCTACTCTGGGAAGCCATGTCCCAGGTAATGGTTGAGGGTTCTTTCACTATGGAAGAAGGGGAGAATGGATGCTGGGGGACAACAGAAAGTATGTAGTGAAACCATGACATAATTTACATACTGAGAGCAATAGAAAAATCTGGCTTAAAAACTGCAGCAAATCAGACTTCCATTTCCCACTGGGACATAATAGGTCATGTCAGGCTAACGCTCTACCGCAACACCTAGAAAAGGCCAAATAAATTCTAAAAATCAGATTTTTAGAAACCTCAGTGAACCATGGGAGCAATAAAAACTGCATTAGTCTTCTCAGGCTTCCATAACAAAATACCTTAGACCTGGTGGCTTAAACAACAGATATTAATTTTCTCACAATTCTAGAGGCTGGAAGTCCAAGATCAGGGTGCCAGTATGATCAGGTTCTGCGAGACATCTCATTCTGTCTTGCAGATAGCTGCTTTTTTGTTGTGTGGTCACATGGCCTTCCCTTGGTGCATGCTCATGAAGAGGGAGAGGAAGAGCAAGCTCCTTGGTGTCTCTGCTTATAAGGGTAAAGTAATCTCATAATGAGGGTCCCACCTTCATGACATCATCTAACACTAATTATCTCCCAAAGCCCCATTTCCAGATACTATCACATTGGGACTTAGGGCTTCAACATATGGATTTTGTGGGGAACCAATCATTTGGTTGATAACAAGGACTATGTGAATAGGATGCATTTATAGAGAGCAAAGAAATTTCCCAGATGACTGCCAGCCACCAGCTCTCCTTTCCTTGGAAGCATTGCTGATCCTGGGTTCAGGATAAAGGTCTGGCTTAGCCAAAAGGAGAGCCTCTGCTCAGGGAAAAGGAAACAAGTAAGCCTTTAAGATCACGGGGGCTTAGCAACAAATTGGAGATGTAGAGAGCCCCAAAGGCACGGGGAATTCTGGGGCTATCTGGACATTTGGGGAGTTAGGCTCCTACAAAGCAAAGCGAAGTCTCCTGCAGTTTCACACACTTGGGAAGGGGGCCTGTCTCAAGCACTTAGCTGGTTTCCACATCATAGATATTTGCTGTACTTTGAACAGGGGTCTTCTTCCAAGGGTGATTCCTGAGGAGGGACCAAACTATGTTCTGTCAGCATGAAATACTCCCAGCAAGAGGAAGGTAAGTATCTCCCTTCTCAAAGAAGAATCTTGGTACTACACTACACCTGCCCACCCCCCCTCCACACAATAGAAGTTAGAAGATTATTGATGAAATCTTTAGAGAACTAACATAAAATGACTTCCAACTTATAACTCTATATTCAGTGAAAATATCTTTTAGCAAGGATGATGAAACAAGCACATTTTCAGACTAACAAAATTAAGGGAATTTGTTGATAGAAGGCATTCCCTAAAGGTAAATTAAAGAAATATCTTCAGGCAGAGAGAAAATGATCCCAAATAGTAACGTGAACATGCAGAAGGGAATGAAGAACACTAGAAAGGGAAACTAAATCAGTAAATACAAATATGAACTCTGCAAAATAATAATCATAACATCACATGAGGTTTGCATTATATGTAGAACAGTAACACAAAGTGAGAGATAGGCAACAGTCAACATTACAATTTGTATTAGTCTATTGTAAGGTAAGAATGTATATCGGATATCTAGGAGAATCAGTATATGAATAGTTAATGACAAAAATTACAAGATAATAGAAGGGATAAGTGGAATAATACTTTTTAAAATGTCTGATTAGTCCTAAAGAGAGAAATAAAATAGAAAAAGAGTAACATAATACAGCTTTAATAGAAAATGAATGGCGTCATGGTATATATAAATTCAACCATGCAAGTAATTACATTAAGTATAAATGAACTAAATACACCAAGGTTTATGGTTGTCAGGTTGGATTAGTCAACAACTATATTTTGCTTAAAGAGTCACACTAAAGATAAAAAGAAACCACAGAACACAACAGAAGAGTTGACAGCAAAAGAGCAACAACAACAAAAAGCCACGAAAACACTCAATGAAAGGTAGTATATCTGTACTAAAATCAGAGTAGATGTAATGCAAAAAAGCATTACCACAGATAAAGACAGAGATTTCATAATTATAAAAGGGTGAATCCAGCAGGAAGCTATTACAATCCTAAATTTGTATGTACTCTGTAACAGAACTTCAACCATTGAAGCAAAATGAGCAGAATTAAAAGCAGCAATGGACAAATCCGTACTCTTAATGCAAAACTTTAGCATACTTCATTAGCTCATAAAATAGTCTAACAAAAAAAAATCTGTAAAAACATACCACAATTGACCAACTTGATCTAACTGGCTTATATAGAATATTACATCAAACAATGATAGAATGCACCTTCTTTTCTTTTCTTTTTTTTTTTTTAATTTTTTTTTTCAACGTTTATTTATTTTTGGGACAGAGAGAGACAGAGCATGAACGGGGTGGGGGGGGGCAGAGAGAGAGGGAGACACAGAATCGGAAGCAGGCTCCAGGCTCTGAGCCATCAGCCCAGAGCCTGACGCGGGGCTCGAACTCAACGGACCGTGAGATCGTGACCTGGCTGAAGTCGGACGCTTAACCGACTGCGCCACCCAGGCGCCCCTGCACCTTCTTTTCAAGTGCAAATAGATCTTTTATTGAAATCATAAAGAAAGTCTCAACGAATTTGAAAACAAGTCATTGATAGTTTGCTATTTTTCCACAATAGCATCAAAGTACAAATCAATAATAAAAATATAATGCCAACTACTTGACAATTCAAACACTTCAACAACAATTAACTTGACAATTTAGGTGAAATGTATAAATCCCTAGAAAAATACAACTTATCAAAACTGTCAGAAGTAGAAAATCTGAATGGTTCAATATCTATTAAAGATGGTCAATCCATTATTTAAAATCTCCCCCAATGAACATTCTAGGCCCACATGGTTTCACTTGTAAATTCTTGAAAAAATTTACGGAGAAGAAATAACACAAGCCTTGCACAAACTCTTCTGGAAAACAGAGAGACAACTGTTTTTCAAATGCAACTTTTATAAGACCAATACAACCACAATTGCAAAACCTGACAAAGGCATTTCATGAAAGGAAGAGTTACAGGTCAGTCTCTCAAATGCCTCTCAAATGATCTGCCTCAGGTCTTTAACAAAATTTTAGACATTTGAATCTAGTGACATATAAATTAAAATTATTCTGGAATTCCAGATTCGTTTAACATTTAAAAATTAACCCACCCATATTAACTAAAAAAAGGAGAAAGTTTATATGACTATTTCAATAGTTACAGAGAAACAATTTGACAAAATTTATCTCTCCCTCATTTATAATATATTAAAAAACAAACAAACAAACAAACTCTGAGCCTGGGTGGCTCAGTCGGTTAAGTGTCTGACTTTGGCTCAGGTCATGATTTCACAGTTCATGGGTGGGTTGGAGCCCACATGGGGCTCTCTCTGCTGTCAGCAGAGAGCCTGCTTCAGATCCTCTGTCTCCCTCTATCTCTGCCCTTCCCCCACCTGCGTACTCTCTTTCTCAAAAATAAATAAACATTAAAAAAAAAAAAACAACTTTCCAAACTGGGAATAAAAGACAACTTTGTCAAACAAATAAAGAATATTACAAAAAATCAACAGCAAACATCATACCAACAGGTGAAATACTGAAAGCTTTCCTTCTAAGATTGGGAACAAGACAAGAATGCCAGCTATTACTACTTGTATTCAATATTTTTCTGGAGGTCCTAACCATTGCCATATATTTTAAAAGACATTAGAATTTGAAAGGAAGAAAACAGGCTGTCAGTATTTGTAAACTGCATGGTTATATTCCACGAAAATTCAAAAGAATCCACAAACCATTTGAACTAAGAATTGAAATCTGCAATGTTGTTAGATAAAAGATTATTTAAAAACCATTTGTATTTCTATATACCACTCACAAGGAGGAAATTATATTTTAAAAGGTATTATTTATAATAGTATCAAAATATAACTATAGAGGAATAATTCTAACAAAAGATTTGCAATGCCCAAACATTAAAAAGTATAAATATTCTTGAGGGAAACTAAATATATAAACACATTTAGAGATTAACTTTTAGTATTTACAAAGCTCAATATTGTAAAGATGTTAATTCTTCCCAAAATAATCTATAAATTAACACTATCACAGGGCACCTGGGTGGCTCAGTTGGTTAAGCATCTGACGCTTCATCTGGCTCAGGTCATGATCTCAAGGTTCTTGGGATGGAGCCCTGCATCGGGCTCTGTGCAGACAGTGTGGAGCCTATTTGGGATTCTCTCTCCCTCTCCCTCTGCTCCTCCCCTGTGCTCTCTGTCTCTATCTTTCTCTCAAAATAAATAAATAAACTTCAAAAAAACAAAACAAAACAAAACAAAACCACTATCCCAATTAAAATCCCAGCAGGATTTTTTTTTTTTTTTTAAGAGAGGCCAACCAGCTGATTCTAAAATTCAGATGGAAATGCACAGGGTCAAAGATATCTAAGGTAACTGAAGAGGAAGAGCAAAGCTGGAAGATTCATTGTATCTGAGAACAAAACCCATCATTAAGCTACAGTAGTGAAGAACTCATGGAATTGACACTAAATTATATTAAAGTAACCAATGAACTAGATTAGAGAGCCCACACATAAATGGTCACCTGATTCATGACCAAGACCATAATGCAATGGGTGAAAGAAAAAAATTTTCAATAAATTTTGCTGGATGAATTGGAGATGTGAAAATATATATGTATGGACTCCTTTCTCTACTATTACTCAAAAATTAATTCTAGATGGATCTCAGAATTAAATGTGAAAATTAAATAAAGCTTTTGGAGGAGAGCATAGGAGGACATCTTCATGACCTTGGAGGGGGTGGAGATTTCCTAAGCAAGACACAAAATGCACTAACCATAGAGAAAAATCCCCATATGTATATGTAACAAAGGACTCATATCCAGAACACACGCAAACTTCCATTAATCGTAAGGCAGACAACCCAAGGGTGAAATGAAGGAAAGATATGAACAGATGCTTCACAAGACAATATCAAATATCCAAAAAAAGTGTGAATGCGCGCTTCCACCTAGTTGGCCACTGGCGCTTGGCAACTAAACCACAATGAGGTTATCACTACTGTGAAGCACACAGAGGCCGGCCTAACCAATGCTGTTAGGATGCGGGGTGCTGGTTACCCCAGGGGGGGAAAGGACGAGTACTTGATAGGACTACAAAGGAGTGTTCTGGGGAGAGGGAGTTGCTGTTTCTTGATCTGGATGCTGGTCACATGAGTGTATCTAGTTGTGAGAATTCATAACGATTTACACTTACAATATGAAAAATTACTACCTGTCTATTCATCTCTAATAAAAAGTTTAAACTAATCTAACAACTCATTTTCAGAGAGGAATTACACTAGACAGTAGAGACTGAAAAACACTACTTATTTTCACCTTATAATAGTCATGTTCCAAAGAAGCTGTCTTTTAAAAAAAAAAAATGTTCATTTATTTTGAGAGAGAGAGAGAACACACAAGCAGGGCAGGGGCAGAGAGAGAGAGGGAGAGAGAGAGAATCCTAAGCAGGCTTCATGCTGTCAGCGCAGAACCTGCCTGGGGGCTCGATTTTACGAACCATAAGGTCATGACCTGAGCCAAAATTAAGAGTTGTGTGCTTAACTGACTGAGCCACCCAGGCACCCAAGAAGCTGTCTTTTTAAATGACCTTATGATTAGGAGCCACCTAGTAAAATACATCTTTTAGCATAACCTGGGGAATCAGTCCTGTATTCCTGGGGTTGGGAGGGGTGGAGGGAGAGGGCAATCCTTCTTCCTTATAAGAAGTATTTCTATAGCCAGGGCACCTGCATGGCTCCGTCAGTTAAATGTCTGATTTTGGCTCAGGTCATGATCTCACTGTTTGTAAGTTGGAGCCCTACCTTGGGCTCTGTGCTAACAGTTCAGAGCCTGGAGCCTGCTTTGGATTCTGTGTCTCCCTCTCTCTCTGCCCCTCCCCTGCTTGCTTGTGCTCTCTCTCTCTCTCAAAAGTAAACAAGTATTAAAAAATTATTTCCATAGCATATAATTTATTTTCAAGTTCAATTCTCTCTTGCCTATAGTTATAAGTGCTCTCTTTCCCTTCTTTG